GGGGGGGGGCGCGCGTGCGCTCTGCCGTCCTCCATTGTCTCCGCCGCCGCGAGGAGCCGCTGCCCGGGACCGAGCGGGGCGACAGGCTGGCTGGCGGGGCCGGCGGCGGCTGGAGCCGGAGCGCGACTAGACGCGACCGCGGCTTCCAGAGCTCCGCCCGGCCGCCCAGCGCCGCGAGCTTCGTGGGGGCCTGGAGGGTAGCGGGTTGGCGCGTCCCGAGGCGGGGCCCGCGCGGGCGCCCCCAGCAGTCCTCCCGGTGCCCGGCGCCTCCCCGCGGCTGCCGCCTCCCTCCTCCTTCCTTGCGGCGGCTCGGAGCCCGGGGGCGGCCTGTGGCGCGAGGAGCCCGCGCTCGACTGCGCCCCGGGAGCCAGAGGGAAACATGCCTTGGGCGCGGAGTGTTGGAGATTCTTAGTTTGGGGTCCCCGCTCGCCTGCTTTTTCCACCCCGCGGATTTCCTGAGGTTCCCCCCCCTTTTTTTCCTTTTCTCCTCTCCGGGTTCTTCTTTGACTCCCTCCCCCTTTATGTTCGCCCAGCCCTCCCCACGCTGCTGAGACGTGGGGGAGGGTCTCGGCCTCCAGGTTCCCGCCCCACCTGGGCCCGGGCGAACATGGGGGGCAAGCAGAGCACAGCGGCCCGCTCCCGGGGCCCCTTCCCGGGGGTCTCCACCGACGACAGCGCCGTGCCACCGCCGGGAGGGGCGCCCCACTTTGGGCACTACCGGACGGGCGGCGGGGCGATGGGGCTGCGCAGCCGCTCGGTCAGCTCGGTGGCGGGCATGGGCATGGACCCCAGCACGGCCGCAGGGGTGCCCTTTGGGCTCTACACCCCCGCCTCCCGCGGGGCCGGCGACTCGGAGAGGGCGCCCGGCGGCGGAGGGTCGGCGTCCGACTCCACCTATGCCCACGGCAATGGTTACCAGGAGACCGGCGGCGGTCACCATAGAGACGGGATGCTGTACTTGGGCTCCCGAGCCTCGCTGGCGGATGCTCTACCTCTGCACATCGCACCCAGGTGGTTCAGCTCCCACAGTGGTGAGTCGGCGGGTAGCTGAGGCCTTGGACGGTGGGGTGCAAGGGAGGGCGCGCCGGGGCTCCCCCCGCCCCGTGTGCCAAAGGTATGGGTATGGAGCGCACGCCTGCATGTCGCTGCCTTGCCTTTGGTTCCCTCCATGCCGGAGGATGAATGGGATTCAATGGGATACCTACACTGCCTAGAAAAAGAGGTTGTCTACCAGGCTGCGGAGCCGGGCGTTTTAGGACTCCAGGCATGTGTTCACTTGTGGATGGAAGAGCCAAGACGGCCTATTGAAGTCCTCGGTTTATTCGCATCACCACCCTCAGACAGTTTGGACTCTTCTTTCTGCTACTGCAGCATGGTGCCCGCCTACCTGTCTGTTTAGGGAGGTAGTGCCTTCATAACAAAGAGAGAGGGAAGAAATAAAATTGGGGCAAGTGGCTCGTGGATTAGGGTTCTTACCCTTTGCTGGGAGAGGGAGGTGGTTAGTTCCTCCACTCTGCCGGGTAGCTGTATAAATTGTTTAAAATGGAGCAGGCGACTGGTTTAGACAGGTGTGGCCTGCTGTATGCACAGCCTCCCTCCCTGGGTTTGCAGGACCAGGGCTTTCGTCTCTTGCTGCATGCAGTACACTTGGCTCAGTGATTCTCACCTCCCTCCATCTTTTTTCTAAGTACTTACTCTTCCCGTGAATCTGCATCTTTTGGTAATGGAGCCTAGCAAGGTGGGGTGCCACTGCATGACTGGGGACGAGGAAGATTAAAGGAATCTGGGTGAATTCATTCTGTGAACTTCTGGGGACAGGCCAGCAAAAGGCTGGAGGGGGATTTCCCAGGCTCTAGCCGGAAGGCACTGCTAGAGGAAAACAGGTCTGCCTGCCTTGCTATCCTGAGACGCCACATCAAGCTTCTAGAAAATTGGTCAAAAGGGGTGTGGGGTTGCTATTTGCTAATTAGAGGGCTGAGTGAATAAGTTACATATTCAGATTCCTTTGCATGAGTTGGGAAATTTTAGCTATATCATAGGAGAAAGATTTCTCCTGGCCTTAGGATACACTGTGGAAGATTTACCAGGCAAATTACTGTTGTAGCTATTTGGAAACAGAAGACCTTTTGGATCAATCTCTGTCTCTGCCTCTCTCTGTGTCTCTGTCTCTGTCTCTGTCTGTCTCTGTCTCTCTGTCTGTCTCTGTCTCTCTCTCTCTCTCTGTCAATCCAGTAAACTTAAATTTGGGAAATAGCTTTGGAGGGGCATAAGTGGATAGTTTGGAGCTTGAATTAAACTATTAGAACTCAGATGCCAGGTACGGCTGCCTTGATTATCTGCCCTTCAGGCTCTTGATCAGCTTTAGGCGTCTTGGACTTAATAATCTTTCATGAATAGTTTAGTCCAGAAAGAGTCAGCTGTATTTGTGAGATGATTGTGATTAAGTTTGTAAAAGAACTCTGTAGTATATGGTTTAAAACTGAAAACAGTGCAGATCAGCTGTTGAAAATCACAGAATTTTGTGTGTAGCAAAACAATTTTATAAAAGTTTATGTGGAGAAGTAATTTTATAAAAGTTTATGTGGAGAAGCTCTCTTTTTGGTAATATTTCTTAGGTCTCTCTTACTAGACGCTTCTTTACCCTTGTAGTATTGCCTGGTTCCCTGATGGAGTTATGAGCTTACAACTGAATCCCAAAATTTCACACTCTTCAGCTGTGAAGCCTTAGGTTTATTTATTTATTTTTTTAAATCGAGTAATTTGAGTAGAGGGAGCAACCTCTGAGCCACAGAGATACAGGAAAAGTTACAGCATATTAATCTTTTAAGGAAGGGCATCTATAAAGTGTGCATGGGAGGCTGCTGTTAATATTACAGATAATACATGCACACACACACACACACACACATTGTATAGGACCATCTTGTCCTTTTGTGAGACTTTGAGCCTATTAAATGCTGTGGTGTCCTGAAGTTCACTCTAGACCCTGACCTTTTGTGAGACTTTGAACCTATTAAATGCTGTGGTGTCCTGAAGTTCACCCTAGACGAATTTCCAAATATTTTTGGTGGGGTGAATGTGCCAACCTGATTGAGAACTGCTGTTGTAAGGGATTTGGTTTTTTTTTTTTTTTTTTGTACCGATGGAATACTTAGTTTTCCTTGTGCTGTTTGCTTGAGATGAACCCTCATTTGCTTCTGTAGTTCTAGCCCCTGGAACAGGCCATGATATTTTCTGGGACATCCTTTCCTCTCTTGTTCATTGCTGCAAGAAGGGAAGGAAGCCCATTCCCACTTTGGAGCCTTTGAGTCAAGTCTGAGCAGCTTTTGCTCTTGGTGGTGAGATTCGGGTGGTAGAGATTTCAGCAGATTGAATAGATGCCTGGAAACTGATAATGTTACTGGTGTTTTCAAGGTGCTTTGGGGACTCACCACAGTACAGAAAGCTGTCATTAATGAAGTAAGTCAAAGCTGTGGGCTTTGACTGTGTCTAGTAGAACGCTGAGGGATTCTGGTGCCAGGTCCTCTTCTGAGTAGCTTTGACCTTGGACAAGACACATCACCTTTCTCTAGCCTCATCTTTGTTATTTTAAAAATAGATGTGGTAATCCTCAGTGGTGGCAGCCCGAAAGGGTTGTTCTCCAGACCCTGTGAGAGGACGCACTGCAGTCACACTTGCTTCCGGGTGCCTGTGCCTTCCCAGAGCTGTAACTCTTGCACATCTTGAGCTCCTTATGCCAGAAATGCTTGTCCTTCCCTTCTTCACCTAGATAGCTCCTTTGGACCCCTTGGGAGGAGGCCACTCTTAACATCTGGCCCTTCCTCTGAGTTTTTCTATTTATTTACAGTAATCTTAATTGTCAACATACTTTATAAGCATTTCATTTACCTGTTTATTTTTCTTCCTGTAGTTTGACTAAATCTAAGCTCTGTGAGAACAGAACTGACTCTTGATCACTGCTGTAATTCTTGCACTGTGCCTGGCACAAGTGTTTGCTGAATGAAAGAATTTGAGTGGTTTGTTGTCCATCTTCTCACTCATCACTGTAACTCTACAACGTGGTGCTGTTCTCTCCCTATTCCCAGTTTACAGGTGAAGTAACAGGTTTATGGGGAGATTAAGGAATCCATACAAGATCAGACGGCTAGTAGGTAGGAGATCTGGGTCTAGAGTGCTGGTCTGGTGGTATCAGAATCTTGGCTCTTTTTATTATTTTGTTTAATTTTTGTTTCAAGACAGGGTCTTAATATATAGCCCCATTTGACCTCAGACTCACTATGTACCATAGGTTGGCTTTGAACATCTTGCCTTTAGTTGGTTATAGCTGCTATGTCTAGCTGGAACCTGCCTTTTTAAAAAATTATTATTATTTTTATTTAATGTGTATGAGTGTATTGGCTGCATGTATGTGAGTGCACCCATGTCATGCAGTGCCGGGGAGGTCAGACGAGGGCTTGGGTTTCCGCTGGAACTGGAGTTAAGGATGGTTTGTAGCCACCATGTGAGTTCTGGGAATCGAACCCAGGCCCTCTGCAAGAACAGTCAGTGCTCTCAACTACTGAGCCATCTCTCTAGTCCCGGAACCTGCCTTCTTAACCGTCATTCTCTGGCCTTTCATCTGTAACTTGAAGTAGGGTGGCACCCTAGAAACTGTACTGGCCAATGAGTATGAAGGCTAGGCTCATGATAAAGTGGCTGACTTGTGACCTTGAACAGATGAGTCATGTAGTCCCAGATTCATTGTCTCTTCCTCTTTAGATGTCTGTCCTCCCTTCCTTGCAGAGTCATTGAGAGGGTCTTGTGAGAAATTGTACACAACAGAAACAAATGGAAAGAGGTAGAGACCTTGTGGGGCACTTGGATTCTTCTGTCCTGTGTCATCTTGGAACCTGGTGGACAGAGAGGTTTTACAAGTGTGGGAACATGGCTCCAGGTGGAAGCTGGTGCTGTCTGGAGTCTGACCTACATTGATGGATTCTTCATCACCATAAGTGCTGCTGAGGAGAGCTACCTTTGAGAAGCAGTTCTGGTCTTTTCCTTTCACTATTCAAGTGTTGTTTTGTTCTGAGGTGATTCTATAGCTTTGGATGCTACTCTGGAGGCCCAATCATTCTTTTTCTTAGTAACCCTGTTCATCTCAGAATTAGGGATTTCCAGATGTGGGGAGAAAACATGGCATATCTATCATGTTAGAAGATGTTGCTGTTTTCCGAGTTCTGTAAAATGGCTGGTCTTGAGAGTTTTGGTTTGCCTTTTTAGTCATGTCTGTATATACATATACATATTCAGAGAGCTTCAAAGCCATCAGCTGGGGCTGAGATGGTTGGAGGGGGTGTCTTTTGATGTGTCTAAGTATGCTAGCAGGTTATCGCCAGGATTCTGTTTGCTGCCACACTAGGGTTCTCCAGAGGTTTAATTTTCTCTATTCTTAAATAATGAGGGAAAAGTTGCCAGCTCCATTGGGGCGAATCAGAAAGCCTCTTTATGTCTCACTATAGGTGTGCTAGAGGTAATGGGGCTTTGCAAGCTTTCTGAAGAAGGAAAATCATTCTGTGATCTCTGAAGAGCTAGATACATCCCCTGCCCTGCTCTGCAAAAAGTTCTAGTCTTAAAGACTTTGTTTTTAAGGCACAATTTTTAGTTTTCTATTACTATGAGGGCTTGTTTTCTATGTTACCTTGAGGCAATGATAATTTCCTAAGAGTTATAGTTAACTATTCCTCATGAGATCTGATTTCAATTGTAAGCAATAGTGCTTAAGTTCTTGAAGTGTATGTTTTATGGGATGGCTACATTTTGATAATAAACAAAGACCCACCCCTAAATATGTCACAAGGAACACTGTGAACCAGGCTACTCTCATCTAAAGAAAGTGCACTCCAGCTCCATTTTTGAGAAGGACAATGCCCTATGTTTTACAAATGTGATGGTGTTCAACCCAAGTTCAGTGGACACTGACGGTTTAGAATCCCCAGTTACAGCACTAGACTTCATTTGTGGGCAGGTAAGATGGCTCAGCAGGCAAAGGCAC